TTTGTATGAAATTTTGTATTTTATATATGTCAAATATATATGTCTTACTTATGTTTATCAATTTTTTAGAAATTTATTTATTTTATATTTTCTAATTAATTTTTAAAAAACTAATTATGTAATAGACTTTTTTTGAAGTCTACTTATGTAGACTTCATTAAAAGTCTACAAAAATAGACTTCTTTAGAAGTCTACGATTGTAGACTTCTTACGTAGACTTCCCGGAGGATAAAATCGTAACTGTGGCAAACATTTTTTGTTTAGTCACAAAAGACTGAACTGTAATTTTACTACCCATTTGGGTTAGTTTTGCCAAACATTCAATAAGGGGTCTATATATTGAGAAAAAATTAATTTTCAGGTTATAAAGAGGAATTCTCCCAAAAATAAAACCACATAAAAATCAGTAGATAACTTGCTCTACAAGTACTAAAAAAACCACGAGAAAATATTTTTCATTGTCAAATTTCATCCACCAACACTGATTCTTCGAACATTTTAGATTGTTGTGCCAAACAATAGAGTCACAGCTATCACAATAACCTTTTTTGTTTTGTCATCAAACTCCATAAATTAAATCAAGATATACCGGTTTGGCGGTGATCTCTATGAGTCAGCCAAGCCGGTTCATTGTGACTTACATGGGAATAAGTAATACCTCGTGCTCGTGCATCTTTAGCAAGAGCATCGGCACGGACATTTTGAGCATGCGGGATCAGACATAGACTAAAAAACTCGAAACCTTTATGCGTAAACTCCAAATAATCTAGCTCCGAGGTAAAGGCTGGCCAATCAGTTGGTTCTTCAACCATCCTGATCAGATCCGAACAGTTCATCTCGATCTTAACCGAAGTGTAACCCCGCTCTCTTAGGCAAGACAATGCCCAGAGAAGTCCTTCGAACTCTACATGAAGGGTTGATAGACACCTCTGGCAACCCCTCATGCCAAACGTATGACGTCCCAACTCATCTTCGAGACAGCACCCCAGCCCACTAGCTGGACCCTGATCAATCCAGGAGGCATCAGTCTGGCAGGTCGGAACATGGAGGCGCAAGAGGTTGGTGCTCGGGATGCCTGGTGCTGAGGGGTTCTCCTCCTCTTCGTCTTCTTCTTCTTCTTCCTTCTTCTGCTTTGCCCTTTTCCAACTTTCCGCCTCAAGTCGAGCTAGTTGAAAAGTCTCCGACGGAGTCACTGTTTTGTTATTAAAGACTTTTTCATAATGTGCTTTCCAGATATACCAAAAGATCCAAGGATAAATATTTTTTGAGGTTCGGGGGGTGCCCTTTCCTTTACTCTCCAAAATAGGAAGTCCATATTTTGGTATAGAGATGTACTCGGGAAGTAACCCGGACTAGGTGAAAAAACGGTAAGGGCCTACACTTGAAAGGCAAGGGGGCAAACAAAAAGGAGATAGTTTATCGTTTCTTCTTGCTCCCCGCATCTCGGGCAACGAGCTTCCACGTCCATGTGTCGAAATTTGAGGTGCTCACAAGTAGCCACACAACCAATAATGCTTGCCACATAAAACGTTGTAGTTTGCTTGTTGCCTGGACCTTCCAAACATTTTGAAGAAGAGGTGTGATGCTTGGCTCACACGTCGCTTGTATCCCTTTGTTCTCTTTAGCCAGTCGTGCTTGATGATAGCCTGCTTTTACTGTATGCGCTCCTGATTTTGTATGACTCCATGCATATCCAGCGAGGGTAAAAACTCGACTTGGACGCAGCCCTAAAATCAGGGGAATATCCTCCGGGTGAATAAGATTCCTAAGGATCCTCTTATTTCATACTTTCGTGGTTTGTGTGATTAGACTATGAACCAAAAATTGGTTATCTCTGGATATGTTCGGATTGACTGGTCTTGGTGGCCTAGCCGGGACCGCTGGGAGTCAAGGCTCACTCCACACTTCGGTATTGAAGCCTGATCATATCATCTTACAAAGTCTGCTCTGTAAAAGAGGTTTTGCCGCCATAAGGCTCTGCCACCCAAGTGATGGGGAACAACATTTATGGTCGCCTATAACGTTAGATTATCGATAGTATCGTCCTTTCAAGACCCTTGCTAGAAGGGATGAAGGGAATTGAACCAGGCGCCATAATTGTTTAGCTAAAGAGCAATATTGAAACCACGTAGGTCACGGAAACCCAAACCACTCAACTCCTTTGGGGAACATAGCTTCTCCCAAGCGATCCAGTGGAGGCCTTTCCTATCTTGTTTGGAGCTCCACCAAAAATTCGAGATAGCACTCGTGAGTTTGTTTATCAAGGATTATAAGAGGAGGTAGCACGATATAACATAGGTTGAAACTGCTTGTGCAACTGATTTGATCTGGATCTCTTTACCCCCTTTGGATAAGAGTTTTGCAGACCATGAATTGGTCTGATTACTTAGGCGATCTTGTACATATGCGAAGACTTTCTTCTTGGAGCTGCAGATCTTCTCTGGGAGACCCAAGTACATGCCCATTCCTCTTTCATTGCTTATGCCTATGGCTGATTTGATCTCTTGTTTGACCCCATTGTTTACTTTTTTTTCCAAAAAGGATCGAGGATTTAGACGAGTTAAGAAGCTGGCCAGAAGCATCCCCATACAGTTTGATGGTGTCGAAAATCGCCGCACATTGCGGGACATTTGCTTTGCAGAAAAAAAGAGAATCATCTGCAAATATGAGGTGGGATACTGTGGGGCTGGCTCTTGCTATCCTCAGGCCTGTGATGCGGTCTTCTTCTTCTGCTCTCTTTAGGAGAGAAACAAGGGCTTCCGTGCAGATGATGAACAGAAAAGGTGATAGGGGTTCCCCTTGACGCATGCCTTGAGTGGGTATGATCCTCCCTTTTGCCTCTCCATTGAGGAGGACTTTGTAAAAGACAGACGAGATGCAGAACATCAAAATCTTCACCCATCTCTCGGTAAAACCAACTTAAGAAGTAAGACCTCTAAGAAACTCCATTCCACCATATCATACGCTTTGCTCACACACTTTGCTCATATCTGTCTTTATGGCCATGTACTTCGTGTACACATGGGGTTAGTGCGGAGAGCATAGAAGTTTTCTTGAGCTAGCATTATATTATCTGTGATAAGACGTCTAGCCATAAAAGCCGATTGGGTCTCCGAAATCAAGGTCGAGATATCTCTTTTTAGCCTTTTACAGAGAAGATTTGAGATGATCTTATAAGTCACATTGCAAAGGCTTATTGGTCGGAATTCGGCCATTATCTTTTTTGGGGATGAGGCAGATGTTTGTCTGGTTAAGTCTTGGGTCAAAACTTTCGGTTGCAAAGAAGTCCTTGACTAGCTTTATTATTTCATGGCTCGTAATTCCCCAAAACTTTTAAAAAAAACGACTTGTCATACCGTCCGGGCCTGGCGCTTTATCGGGGTTTATATCAACGAGAGCCGCTATTATCTCTTCATTTGAAGGATCAGCCAGAAGGAAAGAGTTAGTGGTGGCAGAGAATTTTTTGGTAATAAACCGGAGTGCATCCCCGGGGTCCGAAGAGGAGGAAGAGGTAAAAAGGTCTTGGAAGTAGTGGGTGGCTACCTTCTCTATCGCTTTCGCACTCTCAGCTCAAGCTCCATTTTTATATTTTAGAGAGATAATCCGGTTCCGAGCCCTTCTCTGCTTGGTGATGGCATGGTGAAATTTTGTATTCTTATCTCCTTTTGTATGCCATGTAACTCAACTCTTTTGTCTCCATAAGCGTTCTTCTTCTCGGAAGGCTTCAATGAGTCTTCGCCTTAGATCTTCTATCTCTTCTAAGGTAGAAGTGTCAGCCGCTTGTGCTAGATCTAGTTGATCTTTTAATTCTTCGATAAGTTTTGCTGTATTGGATGGTAGCATTTTTGCCAGCGAGAGATGGTTCTACGACATGAAGATAATCTCTGATGTAAATTTCGTCGGGGATAGTCATCAGGGGTTCCCCATCCCGTAGCCACCGCCTCCTTGAAACCGGGTTTCCCCACCCAACGATTCTCGAACCTAAAGCTTCTTTTTGTGTGTCGAAAGTCCGATTGAATCCGTGCCAGAACAGGTCTATGGTCTGAGCTCCAAAGTTTCAAATACTCCACATTTGTGTAGGAAAAGAGATGAAGTCATTCTTCATTGCCGACTGCTCTGTCAAGGCGACATTTGACTTCTTCGGAACTCCGTCTTCCTACCCAAGAGAGGGGGTTTCCTCTGTACTAGAAATAAAGCATCCCACAATCATCGAGCATCGTCCGTAAAGGGATAGAAGAGGCTTCCTCTCTCCTTCTTCCTCCCCGTTTCTCATGGTTTCCCGTGATTTCATTGAAATCTCCTATCATAAACCAAGTATCTTTGCGATGTTGTCCCATCCTAGTAAGTCGCTCCCAAACCAAATCTCGGTACTCAACAACCAAATCACCATAAATAAAAGTCATACATAATTTATGTCTTTCAAAAGAAGATACAATGTCGACGACTATCCAAATAGGAGATAACCACATGCGTTCATCTATATAAAAAAGGGCTAGACCACTGCTTCTGCCTCTCGGTTCCACGGTACAAACATGGTCATAACCGAAAAAAACTTACAAATTTTGCAGAAAAAACCTATTGTTTTTTTGTCTCTGATAAAAATAAAAGGCTGGGTTTGTAAACACGGTGCAATTCTTGAAGATGCTTCTTTGTCAAGTCGGCACCGGCGCCTTGACAGTTCCAAGCTAAGATGTTCATGTGGTGGATTTGGAGTTGACCTCGTGACCGGCAGGGGTACGTGAGGTGCGGGAGGATTTGCTTATATTTTGGGCCGCCATTTTTGATTTCTGAAGCCCATTCTCACTCTTCTATGGCGCAGAGATTTTTTTCTTCAAGCCAGCATCTTTCTTCTGCGGTCCAGTTTCCTTTTTTGGCCCAGGCCCACTTGTCTTAACTTTCACCCTTGGCGAACTTTTTATCAGCAATCTCTTCTTCGATGAGAAACAATTCTGCTTCTAGTCGGAGAAATTTTTTTCTTTGCGATCTCTGCTAATTCTAGCGTGAAATTCTTCTTTGGGGGAGGCATCAACACCCCTTCTAAAAGCCCTTCATTCACCGGTGCGAAGTCTGCATCATCTTCCTCCATTGCTGCCGAATCCTTAAAAAATGTTCCCATAGCGTCAACCATTGGGTCGTCCGTGAAGATTTCATTGAGAGTTATCTCAGGGGGCTTTGAAGAGTCATCTTCGAGGAGGTCATCCTTATCAATCCAATCCTCAATTCTGGCTGCTCCAGACTCCTCTAAGTCCCCTTCCCGTGGAGGGCTCTGATCCCCAAGGTCCGATTGGTGCAGGTCGTCTGCATCATCATCCACGCCACCAAGGAGATGAGAAATCGACGGCTCTTTTTCTTCTAGGTACTCGCCTTCGTCGATTTCCATATCATCGTTTTCCTCTTCCTCCTCCTCCGCTAAAGTTTGGTCATACCAATTGTTTTTCATTTCACCCAAGGCTGCGAGATTTAGTTTGATGAAAGGGGATTGTTTGTTTTCTGTTGTAGTCTCTGCCCCAATCTGATCAAAAGTTAAGCTTTTCTTTGCAGAACTTCCTGTCTCTGATGAATCGCCCAAGTCGATGCCTTTGCCTTTTTTCCTTTGTGACAACGGCGGCTTTTTTTGCAGGTTTAGCCTGAATAGGCGATCCCGCTGGTGATTTGGTGAAGCGTAGGCCTGCTTAGCTGAGTGGTGAGCCTTTAGAGGTTCCATAATAGTCCTTCCGGAGTCTGAGTCACGGTGGGACTCGCTAGCAGCAGAAGCCAATGAAGGCACAAACTTTCTGGCCTCCCCTGCAGGGTTTTGGTTCCCTTGTACATGGGGCTTGTCTCTCTTCCTCATGTTGGTGAGAGAGTCTTCGTGTCTTCTCTTTTGATGCAGGCCTTTGGGGGGAGGTATAGATTCACAGAAACGGGGATTGGGGTCATACCGAGAGCCACTACCGAGCTCACGACGGTGGTCCTGTGGTTGCTCAATCTTTTTCCAGACACTGTCACTGGCATGGAAATCATTTCTTGATCTAGCGCGAGGAGGGTCGGTTCGGTGAAGCATTAGAGGGCGGTAAGTACTTCTATTCTCCTAGTTAAGCGCCTCCTCCTCTCTCCTCAGTCGAGAGGGATATTGACTGCTTTCTACTTGAGCATTTTTTTGAGTGATTGATGGTTTCTCATTTCCCCCAGTCTATTGCGAAAGTCAGGATTCCTTGCAGCTTCTCTTTCTTCTCTTTTTGCCTTCCTTTGTTGGTCAGAGAGCATGGGGCAGGATCTTTCTTCATGGGATATGCGAAAACAGGTGAAGCACCACCTGAAAAGCTTCTCATACTTGAGAGATACAGTCACAATTGCACCAGAGGGAAGCATAGCTTTCTTTTCAAAGCTCAGGGGTTCTTCAACATTTACGGTGACTTGAAATTTTGCAGATCTCTCTTCCACCTTGTGTACTACGCCAAGTGAGCCTCCCAGTCGCCTGAAAATGGCATCCATCCAGAAGTGTGTGGGGATTCCGGTGGTCCGAACCCAGAACGTCATAGAGTTTGGGAAAGTATCTCCCACATGAGAGATCCACCGTTTGAGGGAGAAGGACCAGTTGTTAAAATGGCAGGGACGTTTGCTCAAAACTTTTTGCAGATCCATCTCTGAGTCGAAATAAAACTGGAAGCGAAAGTTACCCAAATCTACACCCCTCACTCTGCCATCGACATCCCATATGTTTGCTCGTGGAAGAAGGGCGATGAGAGCTTCAGTGCTACGGCCTTCTTGGTTAAACATTCGTCCGAGAAGGCTCAGGTTATACTGCACGATGAGCGCCGAGTTGTCCACTTCCGGAAGAATAATCACCTCATCTTCGACTGCTTACAGGATATGTGGCTGCTGCTGGAGTTTGCGTGAGACATTGTAGAGAAAAAGGGAAACATAGGAGCTTTGAAACTTGAGGGAGAGTTGAGGCATGAGATTGAGGCATGGAAGTGAGCACGGCTTGAGTTATTTAGCACGGGGCTAGAGAGAAAAAACACACGTTACTTAGAACATAATTTTTTTAACTTTACCGAGAAGAGCTATGTCTCTGTTTCGAGCTTCAGGTTTCCAAAAACGGTTTGAGGAGATAGAAATTAGTGAGAAGAGAGGCCAGGATGTCGGGAAACAAAAGACAGAAGTCATGTTTTCAGATGTCCGTACATGGGGGCGCTCGAGAGAGAATGTATGGCTTTAGGGCGAACTCATTAAGTCATGTTTTTCATATCACAATAACCTTAACCATATTTTATAAATTTTGAGGACTTATCCTCTGCAGGGCCAGAGTCAAGTACACATATACTTACAAACTACGTAGAGAAATCTTTTTTTTTTAAAGAGAGAAGACAAAACAAAGTGCCCTTACCGATGCAAGCCTGCTTAAAAGTTTATACTTTTTTTGCTGGTGTTGGAGTAAACTCGCTTGTAAAGTCGGACTACATTGTTTCGTTTAAAGAACCAGTTTTGGCGAATGTCACACCAATCTCATTTGCCGGTATAAACTATGGTCTTAATTATATGCATCTTCCTATTGGTTGCAACAATTCTGTCAGCCTGTAACTTCTTCCCTATAACCAAAAACGCTTTCTACTACTAAGTTCTCTTTTTTTTTCTCTCTCAAACCTTGTTCTTTCTGCTGCTGGCCTTTAAGTACTCCGATCTCCCTCTCCGGTGGGCGGTGGATCTCCGTTCTGCTGTGGGAGGGACCCCCTCTCTTCCCTCTTTCTTTTGGTTTCACTTTTGCAGCCTTTCGACTAGATTTTAGCCGTAGATCTGGGTTTGTCCATGTGGTTTGTTGGGGCTTCTTCACCAGTCTCTTCTTCGGGCATGCGTCTGGTTTGCCGGTTTCTTTCTCCTCCCCTTATTGCTTGAGTACGGCAGTAGTTTTGGTGTTTTGAAAATCCAGAGTCTCGATCGACATCTGTTGTTAGGGTTTGGGCGCTGTTCTGGTTTCACCGGCGATTTCCGAGCTCTATAGCTGTTTGAGCTTCTTTATGTTGGTTGCTGAGGGCTACGGCTGTCTTTTCCGGTTGGTCTTCAGAGGACTTTGGCCTCCCGAAGGTGGTCGTTTTTCTCTGATGCATACCTTTTTCTCAGTGTTGCAATGGCGGCTCTTCGTTTCCTCCTCCTCTCGTCAGCTCTTTCTCCGGTCCTAGTTTACCTTGCTCGACTTTTTGAAGCCTTGGGGGTCTTTTGCGTTGTTGTTCTGGTTTGTTTGCTAAGCAATTTAGGTGGTTCGAGGTGGTTTATGTTCAGTTTTGGGTTCGCCAACCGGATGGTATACCGATGTGGAGTAATCTAATTGCTTTTCCTTGGTCTCTTTGGAGCTCTGGTTTTAGTTTTAAGACGAAGCAGTGGTTTCGACTTTCAGCTGTTCTCTTGCGAGGAGGTGTTTGGCCTTTTGTCTGTAGAGTTTTGGGGCTAGGTTCTGCGAGTGTCCGCGTGTAAGAGTTGTTGGTCCTAGTTGGCGTTTTCCCAATCTGATCTCAAGTGGCTTGCTTCTTGTGCTTTCTCCCTCTTACCTGCTTCTTTTTCCTTAGAGAGTTTATCTAGGATGGTGTTTGGTTGCTATGCTATTCCGATCCTACGTTCTTTGCGGTTGTAGTGCTGCTGGTTGAGTTCTTGAGCCTAGTTCTGTGTAGTTGCAGGTTGGAGGTTTTAGTAGTTTAGGATCTCATGTTCTCTTGTTTCTCAGTGTGCTTTGACATTATCTGGTCTTCTTGGCGAAGCTCGTGGATTGTTTGTAGTTTTGTTTACCAGCTTTTTTGCTTCGAGCCTTTTTGGATTTGGCTCTCTCTTATCTTCTTCTTTTCTTTTATCTTGGTCGAGAGTTATTTTCTTAACTTATTCGATCTTGTTAGCCGGGTATCGGTGGTCTTCCGGTTTGTTCAGTATCCCACCTCTGTATCTCATCCCTATATTCCTCCTGTGTTCAATATTAATCTTCTGAACAAAAAAAAAGGTTCTCTTTTTTTTTTAATCTTAAACCTAGCTTAAATTACATGTACGTACTTCAGCTCAATGAAAAGATCATCTCTGCACAATGAAACATAATTAATATTTCAACTATTATATCATATTCATCAAAACACATTAACCTAATCTAGACACTAACAATTATACATTTTCATTTACTTGATAAGACATAACAATTGACATTCAATCATTTCAGAGCATTGCACCTAGTGGTCCTTATCCACATTCATCGTTTCAGTGCATCACACCTAGTGGTCCTTATCCACACCTATGAAAAGTATTTGTCATGAACTTCAACAACACGTGTCTTCATGTTCTTGATACTCAAATCGGTTCTCCTTCAACTGAGAGCTATCTCCACAAGTTTAGAATACTTCTGCCAAGTTTCAGCTCAAACCGACCTCGTTTTCCCATCCAAACTTTGCAATTTGTCAGACATATCGAACTGTTTTAAACTGCATCAACTAGCTTCAGAAAGACATCTATAAATAACAAACAGACCATTCACTGCTCAATCCCACCAATGAATATGAAGTCCACGAAGCCACCTTGAAGGAAACTTAATATCAGCTATATCGGCGTTCGTATAACCCTCCTAACAATCCATAACATAAGACTACAGCGAGACTGCTTTTCTGGAAATCTCAAACTCTAGATGATGTTGGGTCAACTTTCAGAATAATTTGCAAATTACATGTAACTCATATTGATGAACCATTGAATCCTATGAATTCTCTGAAGCAAGATCTTTCCACGGCCTCCTTGATCGTGATCTGAATTTTTCTAGTTGATTGGAAAATAGCTTTGCAAAACCATTAGTCACACACTATTACAGATCCGCACTACACAGACACGTTTTAGGAAACAAGACATAACTTTGTGCACATATCATCGATCTGGACAAATTCAGATTTCATGAAAAGATAGGAGTCGGGGCCCATGGATAAGTAGACGCTAACTTGATTCCTCACGGTTAGCCAGAAAATCGGAAAAACAAAAATCTTCTCAAACCAAATCTCTTTCATCTTCATCTTCTCCCTTTTTCTCTTTCTTTCTTTGGTTCTCCTCTTTTACTTTTTTCTCAGCCACGCCTTTTATTCTCTTTTCCTTTTTGCTTAATTGAGTTTAAATAACTAATTGTATTTAACCTCATAATCTCATTAATCATAACTATTAAAACAGGTTCATAACACATGATTGTGGTGTTACAATAACTACTTAACCAATCAATTCTCATTAACCATCAAGTAGGTAAAAATGCATTATGATCAGGTTTAATATGTTCACTCAACCACTTATCACAATTCTCATTGGCTAACAAGTGTAAGCCCACCTACACTAGTTCCAAATGATTACTTAAATCTTCAAACAACAACCATTCCAAGATTGATTCTTAGTTAATTACTCTAGAATTTGCGGTAGGTGCAAGCCATAAATGAAGACACACAAAATCTCTACCTAGCGATTCCTATTTATCAAGCCATAAATACCCTTTTGAAACTAACTTTATCCCAACAACAAATCACCCACACATCAACAATGAAACTATGGCAATACGAATAGAAAATAAGAAAAGGGTTTTAAAATTTCTCAGTATAGACAGAGTTGTGCTTACACTAATAGAGGCTAGAGACAGCTAAAAAGTACTTAAATTTATATGAAACCAAAAAATATTACAATACTAAATTTTATTTTCTAAATTATATATATTTAAAATTTTAAAATAAATTACAATAATTGTAGATAATAATTAAAATTGTTCATTAAAATATCAATAAAATAAGACCATAAAGAAGAAAAGCAAGTTTACCAATGATAATGTTTTTGTATAAGTTAAAAAAATGTTCACCAAAATGTGGTGTTAATGTAAAAAAATTGGCAACCAATTACTTAAGGTAGGCATGGCCTTGGGTATAGAGATACAAAGCTGAGATCTTCTCTTTTGAACAAAGTAGCAAAATCTTTCAAAGCAACGAAAACAATGAAATATTTGGTGGCTGTATGTTGAAGGTTTTTCAAGCTCTACTCTCTGGCTGCACAAGGCTGCACACCCTCAGGCTGCTTCCTCTTTTTTTTTTGTGGCCTATCGGTGTGTTTTTATAGTTATGCAAGTCGACTAAGGTAGATATTTGATCCTCAAGACGAAATTTTATTAGAGAAGAAAAGTTCTTAATGCTTTCTAGAGAACCCAATTGAGATGTTGGCAAGCTGATCGATCGATTGGATGTCTTATCGATCTGTTGAATATGTTGTATCAATTAGAGTTGGGTCGATCATAGGTGTAATTCTCTGCTTGCTCTATTTCATCGCCAGGCGGATCAATCAACAGTATTTTTTAGCATAACTTTCAGTCCAACCATGTGATTTATTTTAAACCATGTGCAGATGAAAGCTATCATTGATGACTAATTGGTGTCCAAATTTGAGGAAAATTGCACCATGAAAAAGCTTCTATCAGATAAAAAATCTTTAGCGTCTAAAAATTATATAATCTTTAGAATCCTTGTTTTTAGCTCTTTTTCTAAAATATTCATATTTTCTGTAACAGCTTTGAAAGCTCCAAAAGACTGAAAAAATGATTATAACCAAATTTGATCTATTTTTATTGGAAATATATATAAAATAATATTAAAAAGTGATAAATTATGAATTATTTCAGTAAGTCCTACAGATAGTTGCACTATTTGGTGGATCTTTTCGCTTACTTGGCGTGTTGGGATTGATTCTTGCAAAACCGGTTCCAATATATCCTTTATCCAAAGCTAATAATAATTAATTTAAATCTTCACCTTTTTTTTTCTTTTGCCATTTAAAAGAATTTTACTAGTTGGCGTTGTTACAATTATTGTTTACACCATATTGAATATCAACATATGTGTTTATTTTAAATGTTTTGTAAATTAAATAACAAAATAAGATTCATTATGTTACAAAAAGATCACCAATAAAATTTTGTAAATTAGTTATATTTTTTTTAGTTTATTCCAGTCATTGAAAAACCTTAATCTCCTTTACTTATATCTCTAGCGTCCAACGATCACCATCAACATTGTGAGCGGACCAAACATGTCAATGTTTGAGTTGCAACTTGCAAAGCTGCAAATATTGCAACTACTGGTTCATCGGCATAATTTTAGGCATTCATTCTTTATAAACGTTTTCATGCTCAAAACATTTTCATGATATTCTATAAAATAAAAAATAATGTGTTTATATATATATATATATATATATATATTAACACAAATATTCATAAGTATTTTTATGGTCAAATTCGAGAAAAGCTTAACAAAATAATAATTAGAAAATAACATAATGTTTCAATTCATTAACATATAT